TTTTTTTTTGGAGACAGGGTCTGACTATGTAGTTCAAGTTGGTCTTGAACTCATTTTGTAACCCATGCTGGCCTTAAACTCCTGGTGATATTCCTGCCATGGCCTGCTGAGTGCTGGGATTACTGGCAAGTGCTACCACTCCTGGCAGATTTGATTTATTAAAAGATACTCAGCGAGGACCCAAGTTCTATCACCGGTACCAAAAAAATAAAAGATACTCATTTGTAGAGCACACCACAGAGTCAATTTTTGCTGACTACATAAATGGTGTCACTTAACATATTTCTCTGAAAGCTTTATTTCCTGTGAAGTTATAGTTAATCCAGAGTCTTTTTTTTTTTTTTTTTCCGGTACCAGGCATTGAACTCAGGACCTTGCACTTGCCAGGCAGATGCAGTGGCACTGAGCTACATCCTTGACCCTAACCCAGAGTCTTAATCAGATTCAGAATTGAATTTTGACGAGACTACTTTATAGGCAACTTTCTGTTGCATTGCATCAAGAGGGAATCTTGTTTTTTCCTATTTTATGATGTTCAGGTTGATCAGTTGGTTCAGTTGTTTTAATCTATCTTTTATAAAGTTTCCAACTAGCTTTTCACCTAATAATTTTAACAATCCATATTTTAGTAGGGGATGCAAAAAGTAATATATTAAGTCTAATATTTATTCTTTTTGTCTGTTAGTTAGAATACACCTATAAAGAACAACTTTTCCTAGTGAACTGTTTGGTTTTGCTGAGATTTAGTTTATACTAGAAAAGAAGAATAAATCCTTGCTTCTTTCCCCTTATTTACTTAAAAATATTTTTTATTGGTATATATTCTTTACCCTTGTTTACTAATTTTTAGAATAATGAATAATTTCTCTATTGATGCTTATAATGTCCTCTCTTTGGCCAGGGAGAGGCTCTTCAAGCTGCTTCCTGAAACCTTTTTACATGACCTCAGTAGTCATGCTCTCAGAATTCCCTGATTCTTAAAATTATCTTGATTTAACTACTCAAAAGTAACTACAGTTTTAAAGGCTTAGAATAATAAATACTATTGAGGAAAAGATAATCTAATTTTTTTTACCAACTACGAACCAACATTTCACTGTGGTCTATCCAGTAATATCTTTATTCTAAGTCTCTCTCTCTCTTTTTTTTTTTTTGGTACCGGGCATCAAACTCAGGACCTTGCATTTGCGAACCACTGAGCTAAATCCCTGGCCCTCTAAGTCACTTTCTTATGCATGGCAGCCCTATAATACAGAATTTTAAGAAAACTAGCTTACCTTGAATTAACTCTTAAATTTGACTTTCAGAAACATAATGTGTCAGGAGCAATGCTACATAATTTTAGGGAAAAATTATTTGATTAGGCCTAGTTCTCCTGCCTACAGGCCAGCTATGACATTTTGAGACATAATTCCATTTTGGCCTCTGGTCACAACCGAGACTTCAGTGATCTGCTGATGCTGTGATGCTCCAGGACAAGATTACAAAACCAGCTGAAGACATCCTGGGAGGAACAAAATCTTCATCTACCCAGTTCCTCGTTGTTCTTGGATTTCCGCTGCCCCAGTCATTTGTTATACTTTGTTTCTCCCTATGTACTGAATAAAAGGTGCAGGAAGCTCAGGGGCTTTCATTTTTGCTACCCAGAGCAGCACTAATCAGGCCCAAAGCTCAGCTTCTTTTCCATGTCTCATTTTTTCTACCTTTCCTGTATAATAAGTTAATTCGCCTTGTGCTGCCGTGGCTCGCAGGAGACTAGGACTCACTATAGAGGTTCTAGTAACGTCCCCTTTCTTTGTTCCCTACAATAATATGGCTTGTAAAATATAGTTGAGGTAGTTGCTGCTTCTGTTCCTTCTCCTCTTCCCTCTTCCCTTCCCCTTTCTCCCCCCTTTTTCTTTGTGGTAGTACTTGGGATTGAACACAGGGATTGAACACTGAGCTATATTCTCAGCAGCCCCCCCACCTTTATTTTGTTTTGTTTATTTTGTGTCACTAGATTGTCCGGACTGGGTTCAAACTCATGATCTCCTACCTCAGCCTCCCAGAGTGCTGGGATTATAGACATGCATTATTATTTTTTTTTTTATTAAATTCTTTTATGGGTACATTGAAGGTATACAACACAATTACATTTCTCATTGGGAATTGTACCTTTACATAATGCATCTTGGTTCTTATTTTTTCCCCATTCCTA